TTACTGCTTCTATAAATAATTCATTGTGCAGCATTGAGAACAGAGGCTGCCGGGAACATATTCATATTACAAATCAAATGGCCATAGCTGCTGATTTCTACTTCAAGTACAAGAAATTTATTATGAGTAAATCTCTGGTAGTATTGCTGATTATTGCATGTACTAAAACGTATATGTTAACATTACTACTGTATACTGTATATTATTAATGTACTACTACATTAAAAATAAATAAAACCTATAAATTAGTGATTTTTTCTTTTAGACCTAGAAATAAACAACACAAAGTTTTAAAATTTTTAAAATTTCAAAACACAGAAAAGTCACTGTTTAAATTTAAGCAAATATTGAATATGCTAAGAACTCAGTACAAAAAAATTCTTCTATTGAAGCTCACGTTCAGACAACTCTCAGGTGGATTTGATCTACTCATCAAAGGCTTTTGCACAAACTTGTGCAGTTCACGCCAGCTCGAGGGCACGCTGTCATTAACGCAAATGAGGAGCATAGAAAATGCTAAGCAATTCTAAAACTCCTGTAAATATTTCAAAGATGCTACTTTTTACTGTAATTGTTATGTGGATAATATAAATTGTATTAAAAACTATATTAAATTGAACAGAATGCAATGTTGAGACATTTTCACTTGTGGTCTCAGATTTTTGATTTGGAAATGTATGTTCCTGGTCTACCTTACAATTCAGTCTCAGAAAAACCAAGGATGTCTCAGTCCACCTGAATATGTCTCAGTCCACTCATAATCATGGATACATAATTTATAATAGACATGGCACAGAGTATAAGATCTTAAACACCCCTGGCCTTCATAGGAAAGAAATCCAATTAACACATCAGGTCAAAAATACTTTATTTGAGGTAAATATGGGAGGTGAAAAACTCTTTTTACAAAATGTGTGAGAATGAGAACTGAAAAGCCAGGCTATGGTAAGTCTCTCTCATCAGTTGATATCATGTGACGGAGACCCTGGTGCTAGCTCTGAGCTCCAGCAGAAATAAGACTGACCTCTTAGCCTAATTCAATTCATGGGATACGTTCCAGAGGACGCTAGAGTATTTGATTAAACCAAGTCATATGATGTGTTTTACATGATTGTGGCTAACTGTTATGTCTTTCTTGCTTGGCGTCACTGAGTGAAGGAGCTACAAATAGAAGCTAACGGTAGTCTGAACTTGTGTGTTTGAACTGTCAGATCAAACACAATTCCCCGCCTGGGAAAAAAACAACGCAGACCAGTATCAGTTCACTGATGGTGCATGTGGAGCTGATGTTATTGGCCAATTAAAACTATTGATAAGATTAAAACCATCAAAGCTAGTGTTTAATTGTCTGAAACACAAATTACGCTCATCACCAGCAAAACCGGTATACTGTCGCTGTCCAAAATGTTCTGACCAGCATGCCAGTCTGATAAGGGAGAGTGACGTGGCAAAAATATAACACCAGAATACTTCACATGATAGATAGTATGTGTTAAAATATTTAGCTTTTCTGAGGTTTGTGACCAAGCAGACAAATGCACCAGCAAAATAAGGGCAATTTTAAAACAGCTATGCAATAATAGCTTTAAGCACAATTATGTTTTTAATTCAACAACTGGAAAACAATTGGTTTAGTTACTATACAGCTTATGCAGATCTAATACTCTGGTTGTTGCTGTTTACAAGCTCTGTTTTATTGATCTAAATCTGTATTTTGTATGATACAGTGTTCCAGAAGTACTGATCACACCTACAATATACAGAGTAAAGTGTATCATGATGTAATTTGCAGAAAAAAAAAGTTTGGACACCCCTGGTCAAATTACAAAATAATGTTTTGTTGATTTTCTAAGTGAAAGTAAGTTCACACATCCTCTACAGAGAGCACCTTTCTATACACTTTAATGCACTGTTACTGTGCATTTGCTGAAATTAACATATTGAAAAAAATGTGGCCTGTGCAGAAGTTTTTTTTTTCCAATCTGTAAACTTAAATGAACAGAAATCATACACCAAAATTGGCAGAACAAAGTTTGTTGACTGTATTAACTTATTTTCACTAAGTACTATTTTTTTATATTGTAGGTTTTCCAGGGATGATCAAACTTTTGCACACAACTGTATAACATATCGTCATACTGCCCACCCCTACAAGCTCAGACCCGCAGGGCGTGGTGTAGTACACTGAGATAGAAATGTATTAATTCTACCACAAAAACACAAAATGAAAGGTAATTCTCATTTACAAAGGTCTCTGGGAAATGTATTCAAATCATGAAGACCTCACTGCGCACCAATGTTCACAGGGATGGCATCTGTGATAAAGCGTGAGTGCCAGGCCAGGCACATTTGAAGATCTGTGCTTATTGTTAGAAATGGCACAAGACTTCTTATTCCTTCCTGATATTGATACCGATATTGAAACTTTGAGTATGGGCCAACACCGACACCAATCCTAAATTTTTTTCTTTAAAAACTACTACGCTTTAAAATGAGCTGTCGTTAAATGAAGCACTTAAAAACATTGAACATTAGGCTATCATGCTCAAACTACTCAATTATTCTACTACCCCACAGGAAGAAAGATACAGTAGGGCTTCAACTGGGCCTGAAACTTTGGTCTTAGTCCAAGAATTTCCTGCCTGATTCAAACCTGACCCAAACCACATCAAGGTTTGAGTCCGAAACTGACCCAAGCTCAACAAAATTCTGTCTAAAGCATGCCCAAACCAGCCCATTATCACCCAAAGTGCCAAATAAAGCCTCATGTTTCCAATGATAGCACCACATAAATTACTGCATAGTGACAACAACAGTGTCATTAGAAGACAGAAATATAAAATGTTGAAGATATAATTATATAAAATAATGATATAACCATCAGTTGTTCACGTTTTAAATCTTGCTTCAACAAATTTATTTATCAAGCAGTGCTTTCGAACAACATAGTCCAGAAAAACTTTCTATAAAGTGCTCTTCCCATGCTGTGTAGTGCTAATATAGCAAGATGTTAGCCTTCTCCTCTTTAATAATTCTAAAGATTATTTTTTTAACCCCTTTAAAATCACAGGCTTATGACATACTAAGGCATCTTATTCAGTTACTTCAGGGACTTTAATGCAAACTGTTTGAGCTATTCTTAGGTTACAGAAGTGTGTAATAAAACTTTGGGCCTTACGGTGGGCTCTGGACATTTAAGGAGTTATATAGAACATGGTACATATAACATAATATATACATTTGGCCCAACAAATTAAATAGAAATATCCTTTTAGCTGTAATAAAACTGTACTTTTGTGGATCGATTCACATTTTATTTACCTCACATGCATTCTCTCATGAGCATGGACCTTGTGGACTTCTGTAATAAATTCTATCACCAACATGAGTATGAATCCAGCCTGATTAAAAATACTGTAAGATAATGACAGTAGAGAGTAAGAATAAAGTAAGCAGAAAAAATAAACTGGGGGAAATGAAGGGTAAAATGTATTAAAAGTGAGAGGCGGATGTGAGAACCAGAATGTGAAACTTCAACTCGACATGAGCCTGACACATCTCTGCAAAATGATGTCCAAACTTGACCAAACCCAACATGAGCAGTCAGGTCCCATTAGGTTCCGACAAAAATTCCAAGCGCTAATGCACATATAACAACGTGACATCACGCAACCTGAGTGTGTGCTGTTTTGCTGTTTTGATTCTCTACAATTACCATTCCATTATCATTATTACAATATTAGTACCGTGTCTACTAATCATTCCTTCTTAGAAATGTAGTAAAGAAGCTTAGCAGCCACATAGCACTACAAGTTAACTCTGCTGTCAGGGAAGAATGGAAGATGGAAACTAAGAGAACTTTAGAGCTTTAGAGCACTCAATATATGTCTATACCACGCCTCTGAGAGCAGAAACACTGAACTCTGAGATTTATAGTTCTCACTACTCATACCCCAGGCAGGAACTGATTCTGTTGTAATGGTTGCGAACAGAGGAAAGTGTACATTAAAGCAGGCCCTAAAACTTTCACAGATTCACAAAATAAATTAATGATAAACAGGACATTTACATTTTCTTCTGAGTGGAATTTCCCAGAATGAATTTGGTGCTGAGAGAGAGCGTTGAATGATGTCTTGTAGTAAAATGAGGATAGATTGTATGATGATTTAGCTCTCCCTCGAGTTCTCAGAAGGAAATGATGGAATGCTCTGTGTGCCTGGCAAGATAACACTTGGAATAAATCTCACACTCTCTTATACAACCCAGAGGCTCAGCTGGTCACTTCATGAAAGAATAGAGAATAAGGACAAGCATGGAGCCAAGTACACTCTAAATAAATGAAGAGGAAGTGGAGAGTATGATACTAAACAAGATTTTCATCTAAAGCGACTGGCTGATACTACTGCTAAATCACTCTCATACAGTTTTTTTTAACATTGGCAGGACTCACCGAAATTCCAAACAGTTTCCTCCTCAATGATAACAGACTAAACGTTACGCAGGTAAAACGAGGTGATATATCCAAACTCCAGGTCTTGAGTTCACTGCGTAAAGGACATGAATGTGGAATGTGTGTGAGCGTCCAGCCTAATGAAGTTACTCCAGCTGCAATGAGGGGGAGTGGTGTAGCTCTAAACTAACTTAAGATTTCATTTACCAGGTCATAAAGTTTAGAAATTTACACTGCCCCACTCCAACGCCCCTTCTCTTTTGACCTAAGGAAAGCTACAAAGAACGGAAATGAAAACTTCACCCTCAAGCACTCAAGAGGGAAGAGGAGAAAATTACGTCCATCTTCATTTATCCAGCCACTCACTCATGACCTGAGGAGCACATCAACGCCTTTATCATTCATAACACGTCACCCCCTCGCTGTCATGCAACCTTGATTGATATTCCCCGTCCAGGAGAACCCTCATACATCACACTTGGGTGTTTTCCTTACAGTCACAAGATTTCATCAGCTATTATTAGCATAAGCTGTAAACAGATGTTCTTACCTTTGCAGGTGAAGCACTTGATGTGGAAGTGCCTCGACTGCACACGCAGCACCTCCCCTTTGCATGGCTCCCCACACTTGTAGCACTGGATGACCAGCTTCTCTGGGGGGTGATGGGGTTCCTGAGGATGGGCCACTGCGGGAGAGCACAGAGAGACACCATCAGCATGAGCTTTCACATCAGGTGACAGAAGAAAACACAGAGGTGTTAAAAACAACATGTAGCACGTCCAGTTAAAGACACTCCATTTCATGTGTTACTTTTAACACAAAGCACTAATTTACTCTCTTTCTGCAGGCCTCCTAGTGGACATTCTGCCAGCAGAATGGAAAATGACTCAAATATTTTTAATTAATATAATCAAATAAAAATGTTATTATTTTTCTTAGATTAACTACAACACTATTGGTTCTCTCTGTGTGAAATGATTGTGTTTAGCTGCTAGTGAGCAATGAGGGTTTAAGAGGAGGAGTGAGATGCTTCTGCTGTGAAAATAATTCACAACGCTTCACAAAGACGCCCATACTGAGATAAAAGAGACAGTACAACTGCAGCTTTCTTCATTCTTTAGGCAGTCAAGGGCTGGAGGTTAGGGAACCAGCCCTGCGACTGGAAGGTTGCCGGTTTGATCCCCTGAGCTGATAGTACATGACTGAAGTGCCCTTGAGCAAGGCACCTAACCCCCAACTGCTCCCCGAGCGCTGTGGATAGGGCTGCCCACCGCTCCAGACAAGTGTGCTCACTGTCCCCTAGTGTGTATGTGGTGTTTCACTGCAGAGATGGGTTAAATGCAGAGTCGTGTTGTGGGACTAATAAGGTTCACTTGAAAAATGACAAAAAATCGTGTATAACTGCCACAACAAAAACACTAATAAATGTTGCTTGCTCATCTATGAAGATACAAGTCCAGTTTGCTTCCGGTTTTGTAAATCATACATATTCCCACTGAAACATCCTTAAATATTATTCAAAAGAAAAATGCATAGTTTAGCTGAGAGACCACCAAAACGGTTTTGTGGCCGACTGTGATTTCTTTATAGCCAGATTAGCTTTTTACAGTTAAACGGCCTTTTTTGGCCAATTTGTATTAGCCTTATTTCAATCTGAAGCTCACACTGTGTAGTGTAAATGAACATGTAAAACACACCAGCACATTTCTAGAACTTTCTATTAATCAAAGTAAATATAAATAAACCAAAAGTAAATATGAATAACATTACCTTCTCTTTAATAGACCATTTTAAAATTTTTAATTTTAAACCAATTTAAAAAAATATTTCCTCTTAAAGCGAATGGTATAACAATGCAATGACGACATTATTTTGTGAATCACTAATTCATAATTGTGAATCTGCAAGTGTGGAATCAATCCTCTTTTTACAACTACAAATTCTAATTTTGTCTTTATATTGTTCATGCTGTGATTATGAATCACATTTTTTGCATTAAAATTCACTCCAGGTACAGAAATAATTCACATTTTATGCGGGGTGGCAATCTTGTTCAGTGATGACATATATACATACAACTGACACATCAAACCAATGACACACATCGTCTCTCTGATCTCTCATCCTGGACAAAGGAGTTGAGTGGTGACCAATCAGTTTGTTTATATGTGGTGCCACACCGATTGTGTCACACCCAGAGTGAAACACTGAGATTCAACAGAGCGAGAGATTTCACAGTTGATAAACATTATTATTACTTATTTTACTTCAAATATTAGGCTGGTTTGGGGCTCAGAACTGGCCTATAACTCTGTATAGACCTTCTCTCTTTGCACCTGCAACCTGTAAAGTGGCCAACAGAGGCCAAAGGGGCTCACTGTAATGAAAATACAGCATACACTTGAACAGTCCACTACTACTGGACTACTGCAGATTCTGAAAAAATAAAAATAAAATCTTATTTTAAAATTCAGAATGTTTCATTATTATTATTATTATTATTATTATTATTATTATTAGTGAAAGTTGCAACCTGAAATCTAGGGCTGCTGCAGTCCCCTCAGCACCCTCACTTCCCGCATACCTGGCGTGAATAATGATATGCACGTCACAAGAAAAGCGTGTGTAGGAAATTGGTGTTACAAGTCAATTCATAGATTTACGAATCTGACCATGGATTTGCGATTAATAAAACAACAAATTCGGTGTTACATTCACATGTGATTCATTTTGACAGGAAATTAACTCCACAAAAAGTGCTGTTCAGGCTGCTGTAAAATCTAGCGTGCCCCAGTGCACAAGAAGGCCTATATTACATCAAGCATTCATTGAAGTGGATAACCATGTGCCCTTTCATCAATGTACCATTTGTCATCTCTATTAAAAGTTCAGCCTGACTGATGAGACACAGCACATATTGAAGACCAATGAACAGTACATGAACACCAAGAGCCTCAACCTGCCTGACTTATATAACGCTGGAGTGGTTTTGTACCGGCCAAAGCCCACACCGCGGGTGATGGCACACGCTGTGTAGGTGTGAGTGGAGCATTGTGCTGGGAGGTGTGTGGAGTGATTTGTAGGGCTCGGTAGCCAAGACGCTGTGTTTATTACAGTCACATGGAGAGGTGCTAACCCCCTCACTCATCTGCCCACTCACTCGCTCACGCACCGCTTTATTGTTTACACATCTGAGCCGCTCGTCACAAATGTCACTCAGCCTTTAAACTGCTTGCATAACAGCAGCTAATGTATAATTGGCTGGGCTTGTTCTTGTTCTCACGCAAGCACTCACAGTTCAGACACAAAAGTGGGCACACACATGGCCTCTGTAACCCTTTATGCTCATGGATACATCATCTGTACCTATTCATGCACATGCACACGTACACATGCTAACAAACAGAGCACTGGAAGCTGATAGTGGAGAGTACAGATGTGGACAGATTTTGTACTAGTTTTAATCTGTTGAGATCTCTCTCTTCATTTCAACACTCTTTTTAACATGCCCTTGTCGACTTGCCCCCACCATCTTCCCTTGGGGAATCCTCTACGCCACACTAAGGGCTGCTCCTTTACTGTATTAGCACAAGTAAAGTCTGTCTGCATGATCCCTTTGCGAGGCAGACGACTGATTCAATATAAATGTAGACTACAGTAGCATAAATTCCTCAGGATTCACTGCGCATTACTTCATGAAAAAATTATCCCCATTATTTAATAACTTGCTTCTACAACACTCTTATACAATACTCTATAACACTCTACAATACTCTATCATATAAAAACTCCCTCAAATCTGTACCAAAGCCTGTGTGCAAATTATATATGACTGGTATGTAATACATATAGAGAAACTGTATGTTTTAAATGCTTCATGGAAAATAAACAATAAATGTGTATCATAAAAATGTCTTCAAGAATCGCAATATCATATTCTTTGCCAACCCCCAACCCCGCACCACCCCCATCAGAACAACAAAATACCTTAAATACTTTAAATTTCAAAACTATAACATTTTATTTGTTATGTTTAAACAGGGCTGTATGTAACAATAAATACTGGTCTAAGCTGGTCTGGTGCTGTTTTAGCAGCATCCAAAACACAACATATTGCTGCTGTTGGAACAAAACCTTGTATCTCCATTTTTGTCGTTTTCAGTTTTTGACATAATTTGAAAATGCATGTTGTCCTTTACATTGTACGTAAATTTCATGATGAACAGACCAAAAAAAAAGCCCAAAATTACTTGGAAAAAAAGTCTGGTTCCATTGACTTACATTAAAAGTAAAGCATGTTTTTTCCTTCTCCTGTAAAGTTATTATTTTGGAGATTGCAAGGTTTTGTTTTGACAGCAGCGATATGCTGGTTTTGCTGGTCTACACTGTTCTTTCTAGCAGGGTAGCTAAGTTTTACACAGCTAGCAACAACAAAAAATGAAAGGCAATGCACCACAGTTCTCATTCTAAACCTGTCTAAGTCAGCTAAAGCAATTATTCACATTTTTTTGAATGCAAAAAAATGTATTAGTTTGTTAAGATAATTTATCTTTTAAGATAAAAGTTAATTAGCGCAGTAGACCCAGCCTAAAAAAGTGCATTCCTACTGAAAAGTGGCCACTTGTGTGATGTTGTTGCTATGAGTCCTGAGGTGAAGTTGATGAGGGCGTATCAGAAACACTAGTTCTCTCTTTCTCTAAACATTTGTTTGGTTCTTTTTGGTCCAGATATTCTACCAGATCACCAGTGTCAAGGTCATTAGGTCATTAGATGTGAAAATGGCATGTCCACACATTACCAGACCCAGACGCTGCAGTGATCAGGCTTCTCAGGATGAAGCTAATGCAGGAGGATAAAGCTCTCAACCTTTCACTAGTGCTCTTCATCAGCATGCCCTGATTCACTCTCTCGAGTCTCTCTCCCTCTCCCTTCTTTCTTACGTCTCCTCCCCTTCTCTTGATCTTCGCTTCACTATCAGTCTTCTCCTTCTTTAATAACTCTCAGCAGGCCCAAGTCATCCCTTCAGACTATTTATCCTCTCTCTCTCCCTCTCTGTCTCTCTCTATCTCTACATGTAAGAGTTGATGCATGCCTCTCTAATCTAATCACTGGCCCATTGAAAGGACCGTTAGATTAGTGGAGGAAAGAATGTGTCATATTGAGAGCACACTCCTACCACCACTTTCTGCTCCTTATCGGCTGGTGAGGTTACACAAACCCACTGCCCCAGAGACTCTCCGCTAACCAAACAACTTGCGGGCGTTTTATGAGCACCGCCATCCATTCCCACATCCAGCAGCTCTCTCGCTCTCTCACGGATCGCAAAACACACCGTCTCAGTTAATTAAGCGCCTGTCTGAGGCTCTGGCTGGGCAGTGTGGTCTCAGGAATGCTCCTCCTGCAGTGCAAACGGAAGTGCAGGATTTCTCTCAGACCTCCTATCACTGCTGGAGAGAGCTGTTGCCATGGGGACCAGCTTTAATGGCACGGCAACAACACAGCACGGGAAAAGTCGTATAATGTAACGCAAGAATGAGGCTGCGGTAACTGTCAGACCTACAATGAAAAATGGGCAGGTGAATTAGTGCTGCTTGTATTGCTGAAGAAGAAGGAAGAGGCTTTGGAGATGGAGGATATACTGATACTTCCTTCTTCCCTCAACTGTTGAGTACCCTTGATTTTGAC